TATCAAAATGTAAAATGTATAAAGTGACTAAAGTAGCAATTTTTTACGCAACAATAACTCTACTTCAAATTTATATATAGTAAATTTTAAAAAATTTAGTTACGGAAATCTCATAAAATTTAGATACGAAAACATAATTGGATCTCCCCAACACACTGAATGATGAACTTTGCGTCTTCAGCAGGGTCAAGCCAAGCCTAAGTGTTATTCCGTGAAATAACTCGAATTTCAAATCATTCACTTGCTTTAACTACTCATGCTATGGATGTTGGAGCATCAACTTCGTTCCTCTGGGCTTTTGAAGAGCGGGAGAAATTGTTGGAATTCTAATTAAAATAATTTTACATTAAAAATAAATTTGGGGTATCAAAATGTAAAATGTATAAAGTGACTAAAGTAGCAATTTTTTACGCAACAGTAACTCTACTTCAAATTTATATATAGTAACTTGAAGTTGTACCATAACTTTAAATGTATAAGTTTAGGTTGTACCATAAACGATAAGTACCCTTATGTTATGGTACAACTTTACAACTTAAAGTCGTACCATCACATAAATGTACAATTTCAAGTTGTACCATAAAAGAATTTGTACAAAATAGTATAGGTACAATATGAAGTTGTACCATAACATTAAAGGTACAACTTCAAATTGTACCATAAAAGCAAAAACATATAGCACCAATACTATAAAGCATTGTAAAAGTCCTCATATATATTGATATTAATTATTATCACACTATACTGTCGCAACCGCCCCTCCGGATCGGGGTACCCGTCGCGACACGCTTGGAGTCGCCATCGACCGCGCTTGGGGTGGGTCGAACACCCTTTTCCGGTTTTAAGTTTTTGTTAAAACCAGAATTCTGGTCTGCGAATTTTAGGTTGTTATAGGTTCGGGAGTACAATTACGTGTGGGGAAGTGTATTCACACCCTACAACGCCCCAAGATGGGTACTACTTGGATCGATAAGCTTATTAAATATTGGGTGTGTTATTATTTGTGGCTTTATTAATGTATTTAATTTTATTATTTGATTAATTAGATAGTTATTAATATTTGATCATACATCTATTGACGTAATCTCGAAAGGTAATGAAAGAGTTTTAAAATTAGTTGGACTCGAACCTATTGGTTGCCTACGTACCCGACTTAGTCGGGATCAAAGTCCACGTAGTTCGTGGTAATTTTGATTGGGTTTGAAAGAGGAAACCTAACACGTTTTATTGATCGTGTTTAAGGTTTGTTATGGAGTTATTTTGAGAAAATAATTTTTGTATTTTGATTTGGTAATCGAATGAATAACGATTTTTAATGAATTATGTCATATAGCTATTATGAGCTACTAACCATGATTTGCGTATTAGTGGTTAAATTATAAAATGGCGAGGTGCATAACTAATGTTGACTTAAGTGGCCAAACACAGTGAGTGTGCTCGTTTTAGGTAAGAGGGGTTACCACAAAGGAAAATTTAACCTAAATTGCTCTCTAATCTGGCCGCCTAATTGACTCCTCCCTCTCTCTCGTTCTATTCGCCACATAAGCGATCAGGGGAGAGCAAATACCTCGTCTTCTTCTTTCTTCGTCCACCTTCGATTATTCCTCTTCAAATCGTCCTCCTTCTTCACTTCCTCTGGAAATCGAGCAAAGCAGAAAGCAGAACCAATCCGTTCCAATTTCCCTCTTCCTGCCCTTTCTCGATTTGCGTTCCCCTCTCTTTCTTTCTGCAAATGACGACAACAAAAAAGGGAAAAAGAGGACAACGACGATGATGGCGGCACTTGACCCCGACGATGATGACGACGGGGGACACTAATCAGAGGTTAGTCTTTTTTGGTTGCATGTTCGGTTTTTTTTTTTGGGTTTTATAGGGTTCTGATGGTGTTTTTGTGCTTTGGGGTAGAAATCAAGTAAATGGAGATGGTCGCCGGCAAAGAAATCCGACGGCGGCGTCGGCGAGGAGCCTTTCCTCCGATGATGGATTTTGGTGGGTTTTAGTGAAATCTCTCGTTTTTATCTCTCGTATTATTTTTAAATTCCCATCCCCAACTTCTTTTGCTTATTTTGGCAGGTTTGAACATGAAGAAACAGAATCGATTTGGCGATATCCTTCCTCCCTTTTTAAGCCTTTAAGCTAGATTTCGGTTTTTCATTTAATGGATTCAGTAATTTGCAATTGTTAAGAGTAGTTAACATATACTTGGATGGTTGTTTTTTAGAGATTCGAAATCTGGGTTTTTTATGTTCTTCGTGGTTCTTGATGATTATGATGAACTGAACTTGTGTGTTTAAGCTAAAGATTAGCTTGAATCTAGATTTTAGCATGTATTTTGATATTCTATGCAAACTTTACACTGTATGGATTGGTTTGTTCATTTGGCGTGTGACATGGAACGATCTAATTTTGGAAGTAAGGTGATGTGTATGATATTTAATCTTGGATTGGGTTTGTTTGCTCGGGGCTGGAAGTTTTTTTTTGGTGATTGTGTATGGCTTACTTCGAATGTGTGTTAAGATTAGAGGGACAGCCCTTAAAATAGAGAAGAGCATTTTAAAGTACCTTAAAACAAACTGAACATTGAGTCAAGTGGTATTTGCTTGGAATAAATTGGCATCTATCTTTTTTAGAATCAGATGATTATGACAGGTAGAAGTAGAGTGTAAATAAATGGTAGTTTGATGATGAAATTACCAACCCTTTTTGCCGTGGTTTGTGGACGTTTCCTTGCTGTCTCCTCTTGTTTGAAACTTGGGGGCCACTGCTGCTTCTCCTCCTTTGCAGCTTCTGTGAGGTTTGCTGTTACCTCCTCTGTTTGTTCCTCTTTTTGGTTCTTGACTTGTGTGGATAATAAGAAGAGAGTAAAAGTAGAAGAGTGTCCTTTCTCTGTTTCTGTGTGTTTCTTTCTTCTTTTGGTTTTGTTGTTGTTGTGATCGGTCTGTGATTAAGAAGAAGAAACGGGAAAGTTGTCTTTTTGCTGAGCTTTGTTTCTTGTTTGGTTGTGGGTTTAAAGAAGAAGAAAGAGGTAGAGGAGAGCTTTTTATTGTATGCAGTTGTCTGTGTATTCAGAGGAGGGAAGGAAGCTTTTATTTGCAGAGTTTTATTGTCTCTCTTAACACGAGAAGAAGAAGGAAGAAGAATGAGTCGGTGTTTGAGGGAGTGGAGGCGTGATTATTCTTTTGGTGTGTGTGTTTGAGGAAGTGGAGCTGTGGGTAAGGAGAAGAAGAATTCTGTTGTCTCTTTTCTGTCTTTTTTTTGTAAGAAGAAGAGGAAGAGAAGAAGAAACTTATATCCAGGAGGAGAAGGCAGGAAAGAAGTCCCTGGCAAAAGGGAAAGGAAGAAGTCTCCCCCTCTTAGGTAAGAGCCAAAAGGCTATTTTTATAGCGAATTGCTGCTTGGACAGCAAGTATTTCAACAGTGTATTTGTGTTTTTTTGGGGTTGAACCGGTCTGGTTATGTCAGAGCTGACCGGGTTGACTGGTTTTTACTCATGTTGACTGACTTGATCAAGTTGACTTTTGACTTTAATTGACTTTGGACTTGGGCTTTGACTTGAGCTCTTTAGCTTATTATTGATTGTAAGAACTATTTTAATTAGTTGTGATATGTCATTTATTTAGTAATTGTACTTGTAATTTTTAGTTTGTATTTCTAATCGTAATGTAATTATTATCATCAATTGGTAATCATAATGTAATTGTTAATAAAAAAAAGGTCCGTTATTGATGTCTTTTGCACCAAAATCCAAAGCTCAAATCTCGCAAAGTCCAATTCAACTAGTCAATTCACGCGATGAATAAATTGAGCGAATGCTTAATTCGTATAATCAAAACAAAACAAGTCAACTCAATTGAGTTGAAACAAGTCGACTCTCCCTATCAAATTGTAGTGATCGTGATTTGCTATTGCTTAATCTCCATTGAGTTGAGACAAATATAACCAATCACAATCACTATAAATATGTTTTAGCCGGGAGTTCATTTAAGATTTGCTATTGTAAATTTTAACAAAAATTTAGTTAAATATGTTTTGACCCGGACAAAAATTGGTGTCTACAGTTGCCCCCTTTGTATATCTCTTGGTATTTTAGAGGTATACAAAGTTATCATAACACACTATTTTTGGCCGGTTAATTATTGATATAATTTGCAAGGTTGGGGCGCTAGCCCACTCACTTTTGGTAAGTTAAGGTGAGGTAAGGTAAATTTATGTGGTTGTATGACTTGTTTATTTTATTTTTCATGGCGGTATGGCCTGTGTTAGTTCTTTTGGGGTTTTTTTTTTTTTGGCGATAGCGCCTGCGTTAGTGTTTTTAGGTGTCTTGGCGATAGCCCCTGCATTAGTGTATTTAGGTTATTTGGACGTAGGGCCTGAGGTTGTAATTAAGAATTTTGACGGTAAGGCCTGAGTTGGTATTTAGGTATCTTGGTGGTAGGGCCTGAGTTGGTATTTGGTATTTTGGCGGTAGGGCCTGAGTTGATATTGAGGTATCGTGGCGGTATAGCCTGACTAGATTTTTCTGGTTTCATGGCGGTATAGCCCGTTTTAGGAGTGTTTTCCATGGCAGTATAACCTGATTTGGGTTTTTTGTCCAATGGCGGTATAACTTGACTTGTTTTTAGTCTTGTGGCGATATAGCCTATTTTGTTTTTTAATGATCCGGTAGCGGTATAGCCTGATTTAGATTCTTTTTGTATGGCGGTATAGCCTGCGTTTTTTTTTTGTATGGCGGTATAGCCTGCTTTGGGTTCTGCATGGCGGTATAGCCTCCACTATTTTTATCTTGTTCCCGTAGCGGTATAGCCTGATTTGAGGTTATCTTGTTCTCGTGGCGATATACCCAGATTTGAGATTTTGTGGTGATAGAGCCTGATTTTGGATTTTTATTCATGGCGGTATAGCCTGTTTGATCACGTATATCATGGCGGTAAAATTCACGAGGATATGTGAAAGTTTAACTTGATCACGAGTGGTATAGATTTTTTGTGATTGACATGAGTGGTTGAAACAAGCAATTGGTGGTCTTAGGTAGATCTAAGGTATGTGACAAACTTGATATTGGTAAAGATTTGAATTTTGACTTCCCCATATGTGCAAATGCAAGGTATTTTGTGATATGATATGATGCAATATTGTGATGAGATATGTTGGAAGGGTACATCTACTTTAAATGAATTTTGAGAATGAATGATATTTAATTTGGCTATGAAATTTTTTTAGATGATGCCATATGATTAGTTTGAAGTGCATCGAGAATGATGCCATTCGATGCGTGTGAAGTGCTTTCGAAAAAGGTTGTATGATGGGTTATAGGATGATGTCTCGATGGTATGCAAAAGAAAGAGTATAATCCCTCATCATGGTCTTGATGTTTTTTCATGGATTCTCTTAAATCGATCATCCACAAGGAAAATATGTCATTTCCTTTAAGTAAAATTGATCCTTGGTTGTGCTCGCGATGGGGTAGCATACTGCCGACATGGGTACTTTATTCGTTGGTGTGTGTCACTATCTCGAGGTACTGGGCTTGCCATCTAGTTTATCCTCTTTTATATACTCAGTGAGCACAAGGTATGTCGCTTATGGGGATTGATGGAAGGTTGGTCTTTTGTTTTCTCCACCTTGGACATTGATTCTTGGGTGGCTGATGTATTAGCCATATGATCTTTTCATGGGATGTGCTTGATAGATTGTTCTGTAAGAGGATTTTGTACCACCTTGGACATTGATTCTTGGGTGGCTAATGTATTAGCCATATGATCTTTTCATGGGATGTGCCTGGTAGGTTGTATCTATGGGAGGATTTTGTAGCATGCTGGTCACAGGATAATGTGCTCATTTAGTTTGCTTGATCTTCTTGCTATGTGAGCATGTCGTGCTTGGATAAGAGAAATTTGTTATCTCTGGGTATTGTCTTGTTGATGTCGGTTTTCTAGACATGCTTGATTGACCTCATCGGGAGGTATGATGTACAAAAATACTTTGTTGACGGATAGTTTGATTGATTGGTAGAGTATCTTGAACAAAAATGATTCAAGATCTATGAGATTTTCCATTTACTCATGATTTGGTGGGTTTGGAGAACCACTTTCTTCTTTCTTTCCGAGTGGCACTATCTTGCCCCCGAGAATGTGTTATTCGCCTTTCATTCTTCGGAACAAAGTGTGACTTTTACCAATCTTGACTTAAGATGAATGCAAACAATGTTTGAAAAAAAAAAATCATTTAAGAGGATATAATGGGAACTTGACTTTTGAAATCATAGCCTTGCTGGGGGAATTGTGTGCAATATGAGAAAAATGATTTCTTGTGTGGTTATTGTCACCTTGTTTAAAAATTCGTTCTTTTCGGAAGTCAAGCCATGAGAATATTCACAAGCCCTCACTTTTACTCTCACTCTCATGCTCAGATTCACTCTCATTCATTTCTATGGGTGCTTCGAGTTTACGATACTTCGGCTACTATTAAGATTCTAGTCACCACGTTGATGAAAAAAAATGTGCTCGAGGTATAGGTTTGTTGATCATGTAGAGTTCGAGCAATCTTTGTACGTTCTCGTGGTAAAAGTTCTTGAACTTTCCTGAAAAAAGCTTGGTTTGGTATGACTCCAACTGTAAGAGTTCTCATGGTATGGAAATTATGCTTGTCGCAAATGAGAGGTTGGTAAAGGAAGATCCTATGATATGGCCTTAGTCATAGGCAGCTTCATTTTGAGGGTTTTCGGCCTGCCCCCAAGGTATGAATCTGATTGATAGATAATGGGGATCGTCTTTTCTTGTGGCGGGAAGTTCTTTGTGGAGGGACGTTTGGCTTGCCCCAAAGTATGAGACTGATTGATGGATAAGCGAAATCTTTGTTCTGGAGCTCTCATTTTTTCGAGAATGGTGGCTCGTCTTGGGTATCTTTGCGGGTATATTTTGGCTTAGGTTGCCCCCCTTGTCTTGAAATTTTGATTTTGAGGGATAAGCTCGACTAGGTAATTTGAGTAGAAATTTGATCCTGGAAATCTTGTCACTTGTCGGGTCCTTTTTTTTTTACCTTGAAAGGATGGATGATGAAGGTCTTGGTATGATACAAGCTTTGACTTCTCATTGGTTATCAAAATAATGAATGTGGAAAACCCTTCTGTGGTGCAGGCATGGCGGCTGAAGTATTATTATAATGGTGGTTTTTGTTTATCTTGAAAGGGAGAGTTCAAGTGATGGAAAATGAGGATGATCATGGAGTGGATTTTAGATCAGGCAGACATTCTTCTCTTGGGTGCCCCATCCTATTCGAGTTTACTTGTGTCATTTCTTCAGGCTTGGTAGACGAATACTCTTCATTTGGATAGGTGATTAATTTGATGACTAGCCCCCGCAGGGGTGTGTAGATAGGTTGGTTGAGAGAATGACTCTACATTGCTCTTGTGACCACTTTGACGACATACTCGAAATCATCCTTTTGGCCTTTTAGAAAGGTAGTCAATAACCTTTATTCGTGACTTGCTTGAGAATTATGACTTCAAGTGCTCATGCATGGGTATCCAAAGTGTAAGTCCCACGAGCTTTTTCTATTTTTTTATGCCTTTTCGGCTTCTTTTTTTTTTTTTTTTGCTTTTTTTTTTGTGGGATTTACTTGGCTTTGCTATGCCCCCCATACATATTGCTATTTTGGCGCTTTTGATTTTTGTATACGAGCATGAAGTTGTTAGGAGATTTGTCAATATATCAATCTTTGTGAGTGGTCCTCCTTGTTGACTAGGCCACTTGGTCATTCCTTTCTCGAAGAAGCGAGATATCTGGTGCTGGCACGTATTGTTCGAATGCTTTTTCTGCTTGAATAGCCCACAATTCGGACTTAGGCATGTAGGCATTTGGACAATGGAGCTTTTTATCTCATTAAAACCTCAACTGATGATGTGAGTTTGTCAAATTGGATCATTCAACCTCTTCAATCTTCTGGTCGTTAGGGCTTTGTGGGAATTTGGCTATTATGATGTCGGCATATCGGTGGTTATGGACCATGATTTGGATAATCAACCTCCTTTCTAGTCGAGTCTTAATTTTATAGATGATATCGGTTATGGTAGTGACAAGCTTCTATAAGCAGTCTAGTTTCGTATCCCCGTTACACCCTTTGACTATTTAGCTCGCATTATTTATGGACACCAGTGGGGTGTTTACACTCTCAACACCATTGGGGCGCTCAAACTCTCGATATCAGTAAGGTGTGCACAGTCTGTTTATTAGTGGGGTGCAAAAGTTTTGACACTCATGAAGTGTTTATAATCACTCGACACCAGTGGGGTGTATATATTTTCTTAATATGAAAATCTCATGGCTTAACTTGGAAACATGAAATGCAATTTTAAGGTTCCCATTTCAGAGGAGAAAAATTCATTTAAAAAAATATTTTGAAGAGATGCAATCATTTTGAAAAGAAAAGGACCATTGATGCAAACATCTAAATCTAGATTGGTAGCAATTACACAATATCCCAAACATATGGAAATACAAACAACTCTTTATTCCTTAGTATGAAGCAAATGCTGGTACATTTCTTCAATATGGTGAAGTATCTCGCATTTATTTGATTATGCAGGGCTACATCATCTTCAAATCAAGCTCTATCTTATAGTAGGCTTACTGATCTCCATGATTGGGCATGGGTTATTGATGTTAGAATGAATAACTTCTTCGAAATTTCTGATAGATTCCTTGCGATCATAGCAACTTTTCATTTCATTTTTTCCAGGTACCGTTGACTATTTTGATGTCATCGAATTTCTTCTAGCATGAGCACAACCTTGGATATGGTACATAGGGGCTGACTTTATCCTCGTGGATGAACAATTTTAGAGAATTCTTTGATTTGACTTGTTATGGTTAAATTGTTACATGTTTCTAAATGAGATGGATGTATGTTAGTCATGCTAAATGATAAGACTGTGCATATGCAAGATGAATTTTTAGTTAATGCATGAATGTTGGTAAAATTACCTTCATGATTGATTGTATAATGAATGAATGGAGAATGATAATCACGAGTTAAAAACTTTTGTGCATATCACGTCATTTATGAATAACCGATAAAGCACAATTCATCACGTCATAAGCACGCATATATAAAAATAAACATTACCCCATTTAGATGAACCTAGGGTTGTTGGAAGGTTTAATGATGAGGTTAAAGGTGGTTTGGGAATTCATTTTGGATAATTTAGGGTGACATCTAAATTGACTATATGCTGGGTAAGGAGTTCTAGGATATTGTTTCCCAAGTTGTATCCCTCTATAACTCTTTCGAGCTAGCCGAATACCTCAAATCAACCTCGGATTTGAGTTCAACTTGGTTAGAAAGTTTCGCATGACTCCTACTATTGTAAGAGTCACGATACTCCTTTCAGTTCCTTAAGGTAGAGCTCGGGTATAGAGCTTTTTATGCATGAATGCAAATAATTAAATACATGGCAATATTGATGTACAAATAAAGAAAGTAAACACCCAACAAATCAAAGATAGTAAGAAAACTTATCAGTTTAGTAAATGTAGCTTGACTCTTAGAATTCCCCAGCGGAGTCGCCACTGTCGCAACCGCCCCTCCGGATCGGGGTACCCGTCGCGACACGCTTGGAGTCGCCATCGACCGCGCTTGGGGTGGGTCGAACACCCTTTTCCGGTTTTAAGTTTTTGTTAAAACCAGAATTCTGGTCTGCGAATTTTAGGTTGTTATAGGTTCGGGAGTACAATTACGTGTGGGGAAGTGTATTCACACCCTACAACGCCCCAAGATGGGTACTACTTGGATCGATAAGCTTATTAAATATTGGGTGTGTTATTATTTGTGGCTTTATTAATGTATTTAATTTTATTATTTGATTAATTAGATAGTTATTAATATTTGATCATACATCTATTGACGTAATCTCGAAAGGTAATGAAAGAGTTTTAAAATTAGTTGGACTCGAACCTATTGGTTGCCTACGTACCCGACTTAGTCGGGATCAAAGTCCACGTAGTTCGTGGTAATTTTGATTGGGTTTGAAAGAGGAAACCTAACACGTTTTATTGATCGTGTTTAAGGTTTGTTATGGAGTTATTTTGAGAAAATAATTTTTGTATTTTGATTTGGTAATCGAATGAATAACGATTTTTAATGAATTATGTCATATAGCTATTATGAGCTACTAACCATGATTTGCGTATTAGTGGTTAAATTATAAAATGGCGAGGTGCATAACTAATGTTGACTTAAGTGGCCAAACACAGTGAGTGTGCTCGTTTTAGGTAAGAGGGGTTACCACAAAGGAAAATTTAACCTAAATTGCTCTCTAATCTGGCCGCCTAATTGACTCCTCCCTCTCTCTCGTTCTATTCGCCACATAAGCGATCAGGGGAGAGCAAATACCTCGTCTTCTTCTTTCTTCGTCCACCTTCGATTATTCCTCTTCAAATCGTCCTCCTTCTTCACTTCCTCTGGAAATCGAGCAAAGCAGAAAGCAGAACCAATCCGTTCCAATTTCCCTCTTCCTGCCCTTTCTCGATTTGCGTTCCCCTCTCTTTCTTTCTGCAAATGACGACAACAAAAAAGGGAAAAAGAGGACAACGACGATGATGGCGGCACTTGACCCCGACGATGATGACGACGGGGGACACTAATCAGAGGTTAGTCTTTTTTGGTTGCATGTTCGGTTTTTTTTTTTGGGTTTTATAGGGTTCTGATGGTGTTTTTGTGCTTTGGGGTAGAAATCAAGTAAATGGAGATGGTCGCCGGCAAAGAAATCCGACGGCGGCGTCGGCGAGGAGCCTTTCCTCCGATGATGGATTTTGGTGGGTTTTAGTGAAATCTCTCGTTTTTATCTCTCGTATTATTTTTAAATTCCCATCCCCAACTTCTTTTGCTTATTTTGGCAGGTTTGAACATGAAGAAACAGAATCGATTTGGCGATATCCTTCCTCCCTTTTTAAGCCTTTAAGCTAGATTTCGGTTTTTCATTTAATGGATTCAGTAATTTGCAATTGTTAAGAGTAGTTAACATATACTTGGATGGTTGTTTTTTAGAGATTCGAAATCTGGGTTTTTTATGTTCTTCGTGGTTCTTGATGATTATGATGAACTGAACTTGTGTGTTTAAGCTAAAGATTAGCTTGAATCTAGATTTTAGCATGTATTTTGATATTCTATGCAAACTTTACACTGTATGGATTGGTTTGTTCATTTGGCGTGTGACATGGAACGATCTAATTTTGGAAGTAAGGTGATGTGTATGATATTTAATCTTGGATTGGGTTTGTTTGCTCGGGGCTGGAAGTTTTTTTTTGGTGATTGTGTATGGCTTACTTCGAATGTGTGTTAAGATTAGAGGGACAGCCCTTAAAATAGAGAAGAGCATTTTAAAGTACCTTAAAACAAACTGAACATTGAGTCAAGTGGTATTTGCTTGGAATAAATTGGCATCTATCTTTTTTAGAATCAGATGATTATGACAGGTAGAAGTAGAGTGTAAATAAATGGTAGTTTGATGATGAAATTACCAACCCTTTTTGCCGTGGTTTGTGGACGTTTCCTTGCTGTCTCCTCTTGTTTGAAACTTGGGGGCCACTGCTGCTTCTCCTCCTTTGCAGCTTCTGTGAGGTTTGCTGTTACCTCCTCTGTTTGTTCCTCTTTTTGGTTCTTGACTTGTGTGGATAATAAGAAGAGAGTAAAAGTAGAAGAGTGTCCTTTCTCTGTTTCTGTGTGTTTCTTTCTTCTTTTGGTTTTGTTGTTGTTGTGATCGGTCTGTGATTAAGAAGAAGAAACGGGAAAGTTGTCTTTTTGCTGAGCTTTGTTTCTTGTTTGGTTGTGGGTTTAAAGAAGAAGAAAGAGGTAGAGGAGAGCTTTTTATTGTATGCAGTTGTCTGTGTATTCAGAGGAGGGAAGGAAGCTTTTATTTGCAGAGTTTTATTGTCTCTCTTAACACGAGAAGAAGAAGGAAGAAGAATGAGTCGGTGTTTGAGGGAGTGGAGGCGTGATTATTCTTTTGGTGTGTGTGTTTGAGGAAGTGGAGCTGTGGGTAAGGAGAAGAAGAATTCTGTTGTCTCTTTTCTGTCTTTTTTTTGTAAGAAGAAGAGGAAGAGAAGAAGAAACTTATATCCAGGAGGAGAAGGCAGGAAAGAAGTCCCTGGCAAAAGGGAAAGGAAGAAGTCTCCCCCTCTTAGGTAAGAGCCAAAAGGCTATTTTTATAGCGAATTGCTGCTTGGACAGCAAGTATTTCAACAGTGTATTTGTGTTTTTTTGGGGTTGAACCGGTCTGGTTATGTCAGAGCTGACCGGGTTGACTGGTTTTTACTCATGTTGACTGACTTGATCAAGTTGACTTTTGACTTTAATTGACTTTGGACTTGGGCTTTGACTTGAGCTCTTTAG